TCTCTTTCTTTCTTCCTTTCTTCTTTCTCTTTCTTTCTTCCTTTCTTCTTTCTCTTTCTTTCTTCCTTTCTTTTCTTTCTTTCTTTCTTTCTTTCTTTCTTTCTTTCTGTCTTTCTTTCTTCCCCTTCTCTTATGAGTCAAACTTACGAGCTCAGCAAAGCCCAGATCTTTCATAATTCCAAAAAATTCTCATGAATTTACCAGCTATTTTCTACGGAGCCAAAGCCTCTATTTCAGCAACCTGTGAGGAGGAACAGTGCGAGTCTTTTCCTCCATGAACTTTACATTTAAAAGCTGCAGGTTAACCCTGGGGCATCAGTTAGCATTGAGGTTCTGAGTTTTTTGGAGAGAAACTTCTTTTTGGATGTTTGTGTGCCATTACCTGTTCGAGGAACCCCGCATCAACGCAGGGTTGACCTCTGACAAAGAGGAAGTATTTCCTTTTCTAATGTGAAATTCGGAACAGAAATATAAACGTAAACTAAAGTCAAATTACTGATGCCAAAAGAGAACAGAAAAGCTGATGAAGGTATCAAAGAAAGCAAAATATTTTCTCAAGAAAATGAAGATGCATTATCAAAATGGCTTTAGGTTACTTAGCCCTCAAAAGAACATTTCTGTTTTTAAGCTCCAGCATTTCTTTGTCTGCCTGTTAGTTGGAGGGATGAGGCTAAAAGCAGTGTGTCTTGGGCCCTTTATCCCCAGACTCTGCCCCCTCTTGGACCTCAGTTTACTCATCTCTTAAATGCCCACAATGATATTACCCACCCCTTAGGGTTCTTGCAAGAATTAAGCAAACAATGCATTTAACGTGCTTGTTTCAGTGCCCAAAACACAGAAAGCATTCAGTAATTCAGGGGTCAGCAAACAGCAGCTCACAAGCCAATTCCAGCCCATCGCCGTAGGGCCCACAAGCTAAAATTGGTTTTTACATTTGGATTTTTTTTTTTAACGTTTCTTTATTATTGAGAGACAGAGAGAGACCGAACAAGAGCAAGGGAGGGGCAGAGAGAGAGGGAGACACAGAATCCGAAGCAGGGTCCAGGCTCCGAGCTGTCAGCACAGAGCCCGACGCGGGGCTCGAGCTCACAAACCACGAGATCATGACCTGAGCCGAAGTTGGACGCTTAACCGACTGAGCCACCCAGGCGCCCTGGTTTTTACATTTTGAATCATTGAAATAACTGAAAGAATAATATTTGTGGGGGGGGGGGTGGTGCATAAAAATTTCACCAACTTCACATTTTACTGTTTATGAATAAAGTTTTATTAGAATACAACCACACTCATTCATGTGCATATCACCTGTGGCTGCCTCCCCGCTTCAGTGGCAGCGTAGAGTGAGTGCTCCCAGTGATCAGAGATTGTATTTCCTCGAGCAATTACACATCCCTAAGTGCCCACGTCGAGTGAAGGCATGCATGAAATAATTAGTTTAATTTCCTCCTCCCAAATAAGGGAGATGGCATTAATCAAAACAACGTACAGTTCAAAACAGAACTATTAAGTGTGATTAACCATACTATAAGAGTCCTATCTAGCGACGTCTGGCTAGAATATGGTTCGTTTTTGTTTTGTTTTGCTTTTTTAAAAACCTGTGGAAGTTTAGCGCTTTTCCTAGAATGTGCTTCGGGTCCTATCAGACATAAAATCTGCTGCAGAAACTAAAGAATCATTCCTCTGTCATCTGAGAATATTTTGGCCCTTGCTTAATTCAATTAATGTGCTAGCTAATGGGGGAAAAAATCTTTCCCTCCCAATGACCTATACCATCAAGGAAATAGGTACTTCTGTTTTTTACCTCTCTTAGGAAGTAACCTCATGGTTGCAAGTGAAAGAAAACCCAACCCAATCTGGATTTGTTTTTAAAAAGGAATTTATTGGCACTCATCACTGGGAAGCAGAATTGGTTTTAAATGAGTCTTGATTCGGGGCTTTCCTGTGGCTCAGGCTTCCTGGCCTGCCTACATTTCCACCTTCCGATGTCACGTCGCCCAGTTCTGAGCAAAGGAGAGATTGGTCCAGTACAAACTCTGCCTGTCCTCGAATCTGTTCTCCTTCATGGACCTACGCGGATTCACGTGCTCTATTAATCAGCTTTGGCCAGATTTTGGTGCAAAATCGAAGCCCCATACTGCAGTGGCTTTCAATAGCAAGGATTCTTGTTTTCCTCCTTCAGGCTATGTGGCAGCTGTGGGTTCTCTGTGGCTGATCCATGTGGCTTCTTCCTGCTGAGACCTAGACTGAGAAAAACAGCCCCTTCAACAAGGGTGTGCAATTGTAGTGACCAAGGGAAGACAGTGCCGGGGGTGAACCATGCAAGGGCTCTGAGACCTTCCGCTCAGTCCGGCTTTCCATCACATCTGCTCACGGTGCATTTGCCAAAGCACGTCACACCACAACGGGCACAGATCTATAAGCGCTGTACAGGAAGCCAGAGTGAAAAATTGGGAAAATAATACATTCTGCCACATATTCCCATCCCTAAACTCATATGGCCAATGAGCTAGACCATGTGGATTGGCTTAGATCTGCTCAAGCAACTTCGACCCAGTTATGCAGTCTTACGGTTAGGGTGTATTGTTCCCCCAAAGCAAAACGGGGGTTCCATGAAGAGAACGAAGGAGAATAGTCCCTGGGTTGAAAAATAAATAAAATCTTCGCCCAGTCTTGGTAATCAAATAATCGTGTTATAAATTAAATCAGACAGCATCTTAAAGAGATTCTAAAGTAAAAACTGTTAATATCAATATTTTTGTATTATGGGTGAAGTTTAGGTGGAAGAAATCTGTTTTGCTGTAAATCAGTCTCCAGAACTCGCAGTTCTAGTGAAAACTGTATAATCCAAATGCGAAGAGTAAGGATGGTATAATCTTTGAGGCAAAAAGTGGAAACTTGCTGAAATGTGTACTCTCTGTCTTAAATGCACTAGCCATCTTCAGGCAAAGTATAATATCCCCTAATGAAGTCAAGCCAATCCACGCTGAAGTATAGCACACATCTGATTTTCACCGCATCCATCATGCCCCAAATTAAAATGTGCAGATGCAGTTATATATTCTAAAGAAGGAGCGACTTCTTCCAAAGCCTTGGCTGGAAGGAGATCGGAAAACTATCCGGACAAAAATCAAATTCTATGTCTGTATATGCAAATTAGCTCCTCACTCAGCTCAAATCCTTCTGGATTTCCACACTGGAAATCGGTGGATTTTCCTTGGCTGCTGAAAGCCAATTTCTTGGCCTGACTTCAAAGCTAATGGGACTCTCTAGAAGTATCGCCCACGTCAGCCTTTTTTTTTTTTTTTTTTTTTTCACCTACCGAAATAGTTATGTTTTGAAGAATGGACTCTGGCCTAGGATTTATGAGTTGACACCACTTACCATTTGTAAAGGCCCAGCAAGAAAACCATTGGCAATCGAAAGGTTGCTTGATGAGGTTACCATACAGTCTGATTATTTTATTATGTAATTTTCCCTCTAGGCCCTTACATACAAAAAAAGGAACTCGCTGCTTCAGAGACAGAATAATTCTGAACCCAGATTCAATGAGTCAGACTCTGGTCATTACCGACCTCAGGGTTATTTCCCATTTCTCCACCCTGTTCCCCATGATCTCAGGCAAGGTTGGCAACTACCGTACCCACAAAGTATTTGATCATTATCAGTCTAAAACAGTATTCCCATTTTTTTTTTTTTTTCAACAACAGTTTGTCTAGGGGTAAGGATGTGACAACTTCTGGCCAGTGCAATGTATGCTAAGGCAGGGAATCAAAATACAGACGTTCGTTTGGAGGAGAGCTTTGGCTGGGAACTTCCTCCATTTTTTAAGACATTGGGTTGAGGATGTCATGCCTGGAACTGTGGCAGCTACTTATATATCCATGAGGTAACAAATAAAAGGGTGAAAATCCAGCATGCCAAAGATGGGAAAGCCAAAGGATAGAAGGAACCCATGTTTTTAAAGACATTGTGGAGCCATAGAACCAATCCTAGAACTTCCTACTTTCAAACTGGTTCTGTATCATTACTGGTTAAGCCATATTAGGTATTCGGTTACCGGTCCACAACTCCATCCCCATTGAAATGGCTACTTACCTGTGCTATGACTTTGGCCAAGCCGTTCAGTCATTCACATTCTCCATCTATAGGATAGGGACAATGTTATCTTACTCTGAGCTCTTTAATAATTCAATAACTATTCGCTGGGGGAATATATTAAAAATACTCTGCACGATGTCAGGCATGGTAAGAGGTGGTTATTAATATCATCTCTAAAAAATGGGCATGTGCATGGCAGGTGATTCCACATTATTCAGGCCCATGAAATAAACAGCTCTCATAATAGCTCAAGTAACAGCCAGTGGTGGTAACTGAGTGCTTGTTATGTGTCAGGAACCGTTCTAAGAGCTTCACGTGCACTTCCTGGATTTAATTTTGCAGACAACTTTCTGATGTGTATACTGTCCCCATTGAGAAGATGGAAACCCCATCGTCTCAATGTCGGGATGCTGAGTAGGGACCTCTGTTTAGAGCCTCCGTAAGGGGTGAAGTCAAGACTTCGAGCCAGGAAGGCACTGCAGGCTGATCTCGTGATCACTAGGTCAGACCGCCTGCCTGTCAGGCTCACCCCGGGACCCTTGTGGCTGAAGGTTCTTTTTCAGAAATGCAACTGAACTGAACCAGGCCCAGATATGGAAACCCATGACCACGTCTGACCACCACTCCCCGTATGTCACCTGGCTTCAATCTCATCCTGGTTTCCCAAGATGGGCCTGGGTCAGGGCAAGACAGCCCTGCAGCAGGAGAAGCCTCTTCCCAAACATCTGCTGTTTGGCTGTCCAGTGCTTTCATTCTTCCTATGTCTTTAGATGGGACAACTTGGCTTGTGTTCACCCCAGCCCCTGCAGCTCCTTGCTCTCTTATGGTCAATCCATGCCGATCTCCCCTGCTTTGCGTCCTTCAGACTTTCGAGTTGATGACTCCCCAGATCGATTGATGACTTCCCCGTATCTTTGTCTACAGACGGAAGATGCTCGAAGTCATGCTGATGTGTTATGAAATGGAAGGCAGGGAGAGACGGCTGTGATTCAGTTGCTATATTTCAGGCTGGTCCCTCATGCTGATTGGTTAACGGGCTTCGGTTGACAGTGCAGAAATTCAGGGTCCTTCTCAGTCTGGATCACTGGGGTCACGGGCAAACCAATGGTATATTCTGGATGAACGGAAGGAAGATGATTTCTCCACAGGCATGCTGTGTTTCTAGAAATACCTAAGTTTCCTCCCCCCAACTCCCTGACAGCAAGAACAAGATTCCGAGGAAGGGGCGGCACCTGGCACCAGCAAAGACAAATGCACAGATACCTTTGGCTCTAGAGCAACTGTCTCTGAAGCAGGGGAAGGCAAGCTTGTTGTGCAAAGGGCCGGGCAGTAAATATTGCAGACTTTGCAGGCCACATGTGGTCTCTGTTGCCTACTTTTTCATCTTTTAAAAAAGCATTTTACAGCCCCTTAAAAATGTAAAATCCACTTGTAGCTCGGGGCCGTACTAAAACAGTCTCTGGGCTGGATTTGGGAGTAGCTTGCCAGCCCCTGCCCGAGGAAACCAAAAAAGAAATTATGAATCCCTCTCAGGGCCAATTAAATCTGTTGCAGGGATCAGTGCGAAAGCAGAAACTGTTCCAGATGTGACCGGGGCACAGCACAAATGGGGTGAGGCGATGCAAAAAACGGAATTTGGAATCAGAGTGCAGGTGAATGGGATCTTCCATCCAAACCCCGCGTTGCTGGCCATCCCTTGTCCCCCATGGACATCCAGGGGGCACTGAGCTCACTAGGTACCTCGCTGGGGGCCGTAAGGAACTTGGCCAGTTTTCTTGCGAAGTTTGGTTTTCTTCTGAAAGCATGAATTTCAGTTAAGAAACAATGGCACATGACCGGCCCTGGGGTGGGGTGGGAAGTAAGTTTAGGAGGAAGCCCAGTCTGTTCAATCCAGTGTGGCTTTCGCTCTATCCTTTCCGCAGAGAGGACGAATTCTCCACAGTTGCGGGTAGATGTAGGGCACGTGATGGGAGATGTCACGGTCACCGTCTCTGAGGGTGGACCCTTAAGGAAACGATTCACTCCTGATTTTTACACAGGCTAGGTGTAAGTCACCTTGATGGCAGACCAAAGAGGTGGGCCTCCTGGAAGGGAGGGGCGTTGAGCATGTGACGGACGGCAGTCCCCAAGAGGGGCTTTCTGTCGAAGCTTTGAACCTCAGGCAGGAGGAATCTCGCTACTCCCAAGTCAGTGGATTTGGCATTTTTTTAGAAGTTGGCTGTTTGACAGCACATTATATGGCGGCACCTGGGTGGCTCAGTACATGAAACATCTGACTCTTGATTTCGGCTCAGGCCATGATCTCATGGTTCATGAGATCGAGCCCGAGTCTGGCTCTGTGCGATCAGCAAGGAGGAGCCTGCTTGATTCTCTCTCTCCTTCTCTCTCTCTCTGTCCTTCCCCTGCTGGCATTCCCTCTCTCTCTCTCTCTCTCTCTCAAAATAAATAAACATAAAAGAAAAAGAAAGCCCACTATATGACATGAGCATTACTTCTGGAAGATGTGCCTGCGTAGAAATGATCGTTAGCTCAAACCTGTAGCTACTCTGTGAAGAAGGGGTGACCAGGACCCCACTTTCTCAAGCCTCTTTTGGGGAATGTCTTTTTATTCACTGTCTTATTACCTGGCAAAATAATCCAGGTGGTGTGTGAATCACCAGTAGAGGTTGTAAAGTCCGAGGAAGTAGAATCAGCCTTACAAACAGTGGATCTCAACGAGGAAGGAGATACCACACCTGAACCCACAGAAGTAAAACTCAAAAGAGAAGACCCCAGACCACCAAGAACCTCCCTGATGGCGTTTCTCAGACAAATGGTAAGCCACCTGCTTCCAGCACAGGAAACCTGAAATACCCAGATCAGCTTCCGAGAGCGAAGGACCCGCATCGTAGGTGGGGTGAGACATAACTGTGGGTGGTGTAGACGGGATATAAGTGGAATCTGAAGTGTGCAGTGAGAAAATTCCCTTTCATCCCTCTGACTCCATCACAGAGAAAGTCTCAGTTTATTGCTAATATTCCTTAATCTTTCCTTAACTCCTGCCAACTCCCTCTTTAACAAAGACAGAGCTGGCCTTGGGTCCTGAGCTGTGGTAGCCAACCGCACCTACCTGGAAGTCAGCATTATTGTTCACTTTTAATTTAATTTATTTTTAAAGTCTCCTTCTGTGTATGGCAAATGATATTATTTTTCTCATTATGGTAATGACATGCTGTTTCCTTTGAAAATCCATATATTTACATAAAGAACATAAGGCATTGTTTAGAGGACCAGGTAATAAATAGGCCAAGTTACATGTTGACGTTAGAAAAATTCTGAAAGTGACATGTGAGTCACACAAATGTGGACAAAGCCGATTTATAAATAGTTCCAGTTGTAAAGTGGCAACATAATTTCTAATAGCGAGCACGTACAACTTGTTCCGTGCTTTTAGCTTGTATAAAATGGAAAGAATGTGGGCAGACGTGTTTTGGTGTCTATGAAGTGTCATGTACATGAAATAACTAAACATCCAAGAACTTAAATAATATAATGCAACAAAACCCAACTTGGTTGGAAGACAAAAAACAAAAACCCATGTAAAAGGTCATTGGTTTAATTCTCTTTTAATGAAAAACAAGAATTTCATTATAGTGTGCCGTTATTTTCAGGAGTCTTTGGGAGTTTAATCCTTTGAGAAAGCAACTCTCTGGTTTCACAGGCTCAGCCTGTTAAGAAATCCTTTCTGGTCCACAACACGACACAACACAACACAGCACCACACAGCACAACACAAAACACATGCCAATGGGAGCTGAGGCATATTAAGGAGAACCCTGCTAGAAATTGTTGACAGGATTCATTTTCTCTTATCAGTGGATTCTCAGAGAGTAGGAAGTATACAGTAAGTAGCAATCAGCCTGTATGGCTGGGACTCCATGTACATTCCTCGTCATTTACTCTGCAATTTGGCGCTAAAAATGGGGATCAAGATCTGAGATTTTTCAACCAATTTTTATGCTATGTCAGGAAAGAAAAGAACATTTGGCCTGTTTCTGGCAACCCATCTACATTACAAATGGGATCCCCAAATAGCTCATCATAACATTGAGAACGATCCAACTTTCCCATTTCTGGATGGAGTTGAGAGATACCCTCCCCCGCCTCCCCGATAGCAAAGAGCATGATTTTCTCTTCCAAATAACCGCCCTGAGACTTCTTTACTTAAAAGACAAGAAAATGCAAGAGATTCCAAATAAGGCATGAAAGACATCTAAACCACTCACTACATCCGTTCGAAACAAATCCTTAAATTCTAATGAGGTCTCACATTACTTAAATTCATCCTCCAGAGCTATCCTTTAGAGGTTTCTCGGGGATATTTTCTAGCAATACAACCTGGGTACCTCTGAACTGTTAGGGGAACAAACTAGAAACAAAAGAATCCTTTCTAATTAATTCTCCCTAGGTCAGGGATAGGAGTAGAGGAAGACACATTTTTCCCCAGCAACCCTCAGTGGATTCATAGCATCAGGTCTTATAACATCCATTGTTCTTAGTATCTACCGTGCCTAGAAAGAGTTATGTCTGGAAGCCTGAACATTCTTCCCTTCTATTAATGTTTGAACTCCAAACCTTCCATGATTTGGGGGATTCTTCCTAAAAATTCCAGATATCCTAATGATTTTTGTCTTGCAGTCTGCTTTGTTTTCCTTATAACAATATATTATCATTGTGAATAATTCAAATACACAGAAGACATGGCTTTCCAGCTCACCACATCCCCGTCACTTCCTCTTGTCACACCCCGCCCAGCTCTCTCATTTATGTCACTGTCCCTGTCCCTGGGGGTATTTGGGGTTGCATCCCCAATGTAAAGCCACCTCGTTCTTTACAGCAACTCCACTGAATCCCATCGTCTAGATTTATCGTACTCAGATTAACCATTGCTCTCTTGATGGACATTTGATTTGTTTCCCACTTGTGGGACTTCATTTATGTATTTATTCAGCAAATAATTGTTGAGTACCCCCTACATTCTAGACACCGGGATACAACAGTGACCATAAATAGACGTGGCCCCTGTCCTCATAGAGAATAAGGCCTAATAAGGAAAACGGGTGTTTATTTTAATCCTAGGCCATAGGCAGTGAGCACACACCATGTGTCTCACACACACGATCTAGGTGCTTTGCGGACCTGCATGAACATCCTTGTACACTTACCTTTATGCCTCTGTGTTATTATCCCCACGGCATGCAATCTTGGCTGTTGGCTTCAGCAATCGTTTTCAGGAAACACTTTTAGCTAACGTTTCATGACTTCCAAACTAATCTGAAGTGTGGACTTATGCAGTAAATCCAAACCAAACCCTGCTGTAAGGACTTGAAAACAGAGACAACATCCGACTCATCACTGAGCTTTTTATTTTTTATTTTTTGAGCCAAATAAGCGAATGTGTCAAACTGATTTGCTGCCCCATGGCAATGTGACTCATGGTTGCATATTTCTTTTAAACTAAGCGCGTTGCCCAGTTCACTTCTAAGAGATGTTTTTCTTTCCGGAAATTAACCTCTCGTAAAAATAGAAATGAAGAGAATATCATTTTTCAAATAAGTATACTTCAGGGAAAATAAATAGAGTCACATAAAGTCCTTGCACTGCATTTGACGCATGTAGATATATGCCACTTCACGAAAATCCAATGGGCTCCTACAGATTTTCAAAATACTTGCAAGAAATAGCTAAGACATCTGTCGTGCCCTACATAGGACAAGATCCTTATATGTATTAACTCAACTGTACGTCAAGAGATTGGGTATTTGAAGTGACAATGTATTTTTATAAAGTGAGTGGGTGGAGAACTATATTCATGCGCCCGCAAACCACATAGGCAGATGAAACCGTAAAGGTGGTAGATAGAAATACAGAGATAGAGATTTATAATTTGTCAATATTAATAACACCCTGTCCTGGAAAAGTGCTTTTCCTCCTCCAAACCATTATCACACGCTGTTTCATTTAATCCTCCTCCTGCCTCTTTCTTTAGACCATTAGTTTTGTAAGAAGCTCTTTGTTGGAATAATGTTCTCAGGTGCAGAGAAAGACTATGAGCCTTAATATTGGGCAAATGTAAGACCGAAGGGGGAGACAGCCACGCAATAATGGTCTTTTGTGGCTTACATTCAATCTATAAATCTAGTAAAGCCTGTTGAAATGTACCCTCTGGAGGAAAAAGGGGATGGTTCGTGATGGTAATTGTAAAACAAAACAAAAACAAAAACCAAAAACAGCAGTCTCCTAGCTAAAGTTCTTGATCTCAGATTCTTCCCTGAGTATTGAACTATGAACACGGAGTTTCTCTTCAGGAAAAGGTTCTGAAAGTAGCATTTGTGTGGGCAATTCCTGTCTCCACAGCAGCTGGCATTCCTTCCTACCCTTAAAGGGGATTCTGTGGCCATTTGGCACTCTCGGTTAATAATAATAATTAATAAGAATGGCTGCTGTTTATGTATCACGTGCAGGCAGCATGGCCGGCACTATGCTAGCACATTGCTTGTGTTATCTCATTCATTGATGTAAAAACTCTGTGCAACACATCCCGGCCCTCTGTGCTCAGAAAGGCATGAGGACTCAGAGTGTTTTAAGTGATCTGGTCAGGGTCACAGAGCCGGTAAATGGCAGAGCCAGAATTCAAACTCAGGTTTTTGTTCATTCTAAAGCTTACTCTTATACTCATGTTATTGTGGCTTCCTGTGCTCCTGGAAAATGATTTGCTGTGAGAGTAAAAGGAGGTAGAACAACCATTGCCCCGTTTTTGTGATTCTCCTAGTAGTGTTTCCTGTGGAAACATCTTTCTGTGCTGGGCTTATCTGAAATTACAACAAGGCAAGAGAGGGGAGAATTGATACATGATTTGCATAAAGCTCGGATGTACGTTTTCTGAATATATTTGTCATTAGAATGAGAATTTACCTTGGCCGTGTAATTATGTCTGATTGTCCAATTCCGTTTCAAGTGAGCATCTTGATAAAACACAAAGGTTGGACGCAGAGCCTTTGTTGATTCTGGATATTTCTAGCCGGTGTAGTTCCTTAGATTTGTTCCAATGAAGCAGAGCTAGTAAACAATCTTGCTGATAGACTCACACTAAATTAAAATATCTGCCCAATTCTTTTTTTTTTAATGTTTATTTGTTTTTTGTTTTTTGTTTTTTTTGAGAGAGAGAGAGAGAGAGAGATTGCGAGAGAGAGATCAATCATGAATGGGGGAGGGGCAGAGAGAGAGAGGAAGACAGAGAAGCCCAAGCAGGCTCCATACTGTCAGTGAAGAGCTGATGTGGGGCTCGAACTCATGAATGGTGAGATCATGACCTGAACTGAAGTCAAGAGTCAGACGCTTAATCAACTAAGCCACTCAGGCGCCCCATCTTCCCAATTCTTTTAAATGTCAACTTCAGTGGGATTAGAGATCCATCAAAATACACTTGTGTTCCTTTCAAAAAAAATGTGAAGTGACCACCAAACATTTCCACTAGAATTTTGACTAAGTAATATATGTTGGAGATGCCTCAAATGTTCCTTAGAGTATCAAGCTATAGGAATGCGTGACACGGTGAAAGAAATAAAAATGACTTTATTACTATGCAAAGCTTGGATGTCACAACCAGATTCCATCTCAACACCACAGGCTGGATGCCCTAAGGTGCTGTACTTTGGCTCTCATGAATAAAAATAAAGCTCTGGAAGAAAGTTGCTCGGTACTGAACTAGAAAATATCCGAAATTACTTGGTGGTCTTCAAACTGTTCTTTAAAGTATTAGATAGATAGTCCCTGAAAAAATGTGGGGTTCCTTTCAACAGTAGCTCTATTTTTGACAGCTGGAGAAAATGAGCGTCTGTGGCTGTGGTCTTTGGACTACAAAGCCCAAAGTGAACTATTTGAATTGGTCTCTGAAAGAGGACTCAGCAAAGAGGAAAGAAGAGCGATAGAAAGAAAATGAAGGAAGGGAGGGAGGAAGGAAATTGTTCTTAACTGCTGTTATTGAAAGTACCTCAAATGGACTGAATAAGACCCTTAGTCTAAACTCACCATAGGGTCACCTTTGATTAATACAGCTTTATCTGCCTCAAAATGAGAGAAAACAGAAAAACCATAGAAAAGCTTGAGGTATTCCCTTCTTTTTTTTTTTTTTTTTTTTTTTTAAGAAACTGAACTTCTTTGCCACGATCTCCCTGACAGCCTGAGGGGCTGTTTTCAGGACGCTTGCCTAGACCCACCGCTGCCAAGAAAGCTTCCTGATTCAATCCAATTTCTCCTCCAAAGGTTAGCAAGGAAAGGGATGGAAAGGAAACAGATCAAAACCTTAAGCTGGCAGGGGACCTACCAGATACCAAATTGAAGCCACTGGAGAGAAGTTACGAGTCTCTCTCAGGGAGGAAAGGTGGCACCAGGGCTGTGCCTCCCAATGTCCATTCAGGTTTAGCTTAAAAAGCCACTCTGTGTGTTTGGCTGCCTGTTTTTGCCATTCAGAATTACCTGACCAACTAATGAGTTTGTGACTCCATATTTCAAAGGACGCCAGGGAACGTGTTTGGGCAGGAAGGGCTCCTAATGACGGCCTGAATTCTGGAGGCAAAGGAAATCCCAAAGCGGTAAAACCTTTGGATGGGGCGAGGAGGCCGACTGAACTGTTTATAGGGAGAGAAACTGTAAGCAAGAGACTCTATTTCTTTTTCTACATGTTCTCAAGCAAAACTGGCCCTTGTAGAGCAATGGAAAAGACTCGAGGAAGAAAAAAAACCCCACTTTCCATCTACAAGGATCTAAAGTTTATGTAGAGGACAAACAGATCTTTCTTTGCCTTTGGGTTGAACACCTTGGTGAAGCCCATGAGGTAATGTCCCTAAGAAAAGTATCTGGAACTTCCAGATCCCAGGGGTTCAGGCTGAAGAAAGATCGCTTCCATTCCTAACCAATTAAAAAGCATGCATCAAGGTTCTATGCTATGCCAAGCTCTGTAAAGGTTGTTTCTGAGGTAGGAAAGGACATGGAAATTCCCATTCTGTGTGAAACCACTGATGGTCCTAGTGGAGACTACTGAATCAGAGCAGTACCAAGTAATATTTAAAGATGAGCATGATTGACCTCTGAGGGTGAGCACGTCCCACAGACCTCCCTATTGGAGACTCGTCAACCTGCATCTTATCCAAGCTCCTACCATTATTCTAAATTGGGGAGCTTCATAGTGGATGCTCGATACATATGGGTTCATTGAATGGTATCTCCTGCCTTATAGGGGAGGCAGTTAAGAGGGTGGAATAGAGTGATTGCCCGGAGTCACATCCCGACTCCCTAACATGCTAGTTCCATGACCCATGCTAGTTTCTCTGAGCTTCCATTTTCTTGACTGTAAAATGAGGAAAAGAACACTATTCCTCTATCTTGAGGCTCTGCATGATGAATAAATGAACCAGTGTGGGTTACTGCCTCACTGGAGCGCCTAACCCTTAGTAAGCACTCCAGGAAAAGTTAGCTTTCATAAATAACAATTTTTATTATCTTTACTAATAGGACTACCGTACCCCAGATGACAGAGGCATATAATATTAATCGATCAAAAAATTATTTGAGTGCCTTTGATGTTGTTAACTGTTCTCTGATGCAGGTGTTATGGATCCTTGCCATCTGCTGGCAGAACAGCGAAGATAGTAACAGTGGGATCCGAAGTCTTCCTGTTTGCCCCCCATTGCTTAACCTGTTTCCTACACCCCCTCCCTCCAGCAGGGGAGGAGGAGATGATTAGCGATGACTTAGTGGTTTAATGTGGGAATGAAACCTGAGTCAAAATTGTTGATAAGAGCGGAGCAGTTCATTACCGGATTTCTTAGGTGCTTTATCGGGCATCGGGCATCTGGCACAGAGCATCACGGAGTCCATAGTTGAATCTGCAGTCCCCAGTATTGGTCGGCGTTTGTCTATACCAGTTAGCTGAAAGCAGTGATGCTCACACTGAGACGTGTCTCACCTGAAGGGCTTGTCAAGTACAGGTGGCTCGGCCCCAGCCCTGAGAGTTTCTGACTCTGTAGATCTGGAGTGGTTCTCAAGAATTGGTACGTCTAACAAACTCCCAAGTGATGCTGAAAGCTGTGGTCCCAGGAACGTGCTTTTAGAGCCTTTCGCTGGGAGTCTGTTTTAAGGAGCCAAACCTATGAATTCAGCCCATCCAGCTCTGTCACTGATGCCACAGGCCACAGGGGTCACTAAAATGGAAAAGAGGGTGTTCCACATGCCCCATGTCTCTGCTAGAGGAAAAAACACAAGGAAACATCACCACCTATGTGTTACCAAGAAAAGCCTACCAATGGTTTAATTGTTCATTCATTCAATACATTCAGCCACCTCCTGGTTCCAACATTAGCACGCTGATCATCATTTATTTATCCCAGAATTCCCTAACCCCAGGGTTTAAGACTTATGTTGTTGTTGTGATTTGGGGAAGCCAACACTTGAATGTAATTGGACTCTGGTTGGAAGCCACGTGGAAATCACGCATCTCAGTTGGTCTAGTTGGTCTTCCAAGTGCAGAAGTTGACTCTGCGTCTCAATAATGAATGACTGAGGTCAGCCATTCCAGAACTCCCCTTGCATTGTCCATGTTGCTGTGCTTGTAGTAGCTGAAAGGCCGTTGTCTGTTTGTTATTTTAGTCAGTGAAAGGGGATGAAGGGATCACCCACTCAGAAGAAATAAATGGGAAAGACTCCAGCTGTCAAGTAAGTGACCTGTCAACTCTGTTCGGTGGTGGGGTTAGCCTGCATGCTCTTACTTCTTTCTAGCCTAGTTCCCAATGCAATTCTCAACCACAAGGCGGCTCATTTACCGACTCTAGGTTGAGCACTTGCTGTACATGAGGCACTCTCTTGGGCTCTACAGACACATGCATGAACAGGCTAGAGTTTTCAGCTATTTCTTGTTTAACACTTACTTTTCCAACTCTTCTCCACAGAGCAAACCCCTTCCCATCCTTCAAGTCTTGGCCTGAATGTCCCCTCCTCAAAGAGATGTCCTATTTCCATCCATCATTGTTGTGTCTTGTTCTTTTACTTCGTGGAATTTATGACACATTGTAGAAACTCATCTGTCTATTCGTTATCTGTCTCCTCTACCCCTTTCTTTCTGTGTCTGGAGCAAGGGAGAGGCCTCTTCTATTTTTCCATCGCACTGCATGGTGCCTGGCATATAGTAGGAGCTATTTCTTTGAAAAACAAGTGAAGAAACATGGGATCGTGTGGGTTTTTCCATAATTTCCTCCACTCTAGAGAAACACAGCTAAGACATGTTTATAACTCCACATATTCATTTCTTTAAGTGGGGTCATCGCATGCTCCATACCCTATTTTATAACCTGCACTCTTTTCTTAACTTAAAAACACACCTCCATGAAAATCTCAACAAGTATTCTTCAACTAATTTTTGCAACACAGAGAACTGGTTAAGAGCAGAGCTGCTGGCTCAGATTGCCTGCGTTTGAACCCTGGCTTTGCTATCTTTTACCTGTGTGACTGAAAACAAATTACCAAATGTCTCCGTGCCTCAGGTTCCTCACCTATATCATGGAGCTAGGAAAAGCGCTGCCTCACGGCACTGTCATATTTAGATGAGTCAGTGCACATACAGCACCTGGAAGTCCCAGCATGGAGGACGCGATGAATGTTAGTGGCCATGCGAATCAGCACGGGCTGCCTATGACTCCTTGTCATAGATGGAGTGGTTTAACAACGGAAATTTGTTTTCTCACAGTTTTGGAGACTGGAAAATCCAAGATCAGGATGCCAGCAATGGTTTGGTTCTTGGTGAGGAGAGCTCCTTCCTGGCTTTCTGACAGCTGCCTTCTCACTATGTCCTCACATGGTGGCTTTTATAGGGACACTAATCCTATTGATCAGGGCCCCATCCTTCTGACCCCAGTTAACCTTAATTACTTTCTTTTTTTTTTTTTAATTTTTTTTCAACGTTTATTTATTTTTGGGACAGAGAGAGACAGAGCATGAATGGGGGGAGGGGCAGAGAGAGAGGGAGACACAGAATCGGAAACAGGCTCCAGGCTCCGAGCCATCAGCCCAGAGCCTGACACGGGGCTCGAACTCCCGGACTGCGAGATCGTGACCTGGCTGAAGTCGGACGCTTAACCGACTGCGCCACCCAGGCGCCCCAACCTTAATTACTTTCTTACTCCACGTACTTTCACGCCGGGGGTTAGGGCTTCAGTCTAGGGAGCCATAGCAGTTGCTATTGTTTTGTTACTGTTACTTATTATGCCGCTGATAAGAAATTACCACCCTACAGTATTTGTTCTTATCACACACGCAAATGGACAGCAGTGACTACCATTCATTATATTTCCATGACCATAATACTTGGATTATCCTATATATTCCAACAGGGAATATATTGCTTTTTGCTGCATTCAAATTATTTCTGTTTTTCTTTTTCAACTTCCTGCTGTGCTTGTCCCCAAACGTGTTCTCCGGACCACTGGGAACCAAAACTCCTCGAGTTAACTATCTTGGAAACACGATACATGTACTTTATTCCATATGAAAGTTTTAAACATAATTGTACATTTTTGTCTAGAATGTGAACGTGAAACAGTTATGCCGATCGTCTTGGATGCAGACTTGAGGAGACGGATGTGTGATCGTTGAGAGAATGATAAATGCTTTGTTTAATTGGGGGGATGGGAATAGACACTCTCTGTTCCCTTCAGAATTGTCCTCTCAGAGTTACGAAAAGTCTCGGGTGATGATTCTAGGGAAAGGAGCCCAAGGCAACTCCCAGTTGAGGTGTGCCTCAGGGTCTGAATCAAACGGGATGTTCCCATGACCTTGTCCCCCAACTTCCAGCCAGTGTCACTCAGTTCTACAAGAGGATACACTCAAGATAATTCAGATGAGAATAATTTGTGTGATAAATCCTGAGACAGAGTCAAATCCCAAGCAAAGATTTTAAATCATCTACATTCAATGACGAAGCAATCATCGCACAGTTTAGATTCTTAGCTTACTCTGAATGTAAGGAACCAGCCATCTGTTATTTCCAGGAGTGAGTGTCTAAGCCATTAAAAAGAACATTTAAGCCCTAATAGCAGTGGCGTAATTATGCGGTAAATGGACCTGATCCACTGAAAGTGCCCCTCCTGAAAAAAATCAATGTCCCGTGAAAGCTATTGACGTGCGGGCACTTCTCACTCCCCACCCCGCAATGATTTGCCGAGGGAAATAGTGTAGAAACATCTGGAAGGCAAGTTGCCGGCCATCCGTTCAACCCTTTTTGGTGGAGACTTACTATGTGTCAGACGAGGTGCTGGGGATAAAGCCATGGAGGACAGAAGAGTGTTGTTCTCCAGAGCTCCCCTTCCAGCAGAGGGAGGCAGACGGAATGTTCTCAAGTGAGCCAAGAAACCCCCAAGATCAATGCAAGCATGAAGGAAACACAGCCGTGTTTTGTAAGAGAGGGGTAGATTGTCTAAACAGGGGCCACCGCCCGAGGGAGGTGACATCTGAGCTGAGACTTGACGGGAAAGAAGTGGCTGTCACGTCAAGCCCCGCAAACGTCCTGAGCAGGAATTACAGCAAACGTGAGGCCCCCGTTTTGAGAATAAGCTTGTTCACGGAAGAAGAGGAGACCGTGTGGTCGGAGCAGAAGGAACAGAGGTAAAAGGGATTAGAGACGAGGTTGGGGAGGCACAGAGACACTCCATTCAACAAACATTTGCTGAGTCCCTTGTCTGCCCCCGGCTCTCGGACCCACACGGAAAGAATCTGTCAGGAAGGATCACCGTGGACAACGTTGGGTTGGGTTGACGGACTCTTCTCAGTCGGCCTGGGTACGCACCATGAGGTACGATGAGGCCACCATGAGGTACGATGTCTTCTGTGACTGCCCCACAGATGAGGAAGCTGAGAGACCCAACAATTCATTCCAGGTCACCCAGCAAGGGTGTGAAGGGACCCAGAGCCCACCGTGTGCTTTCGGCTGCAGACACTAAGCCCTTAGCCAATAAGTGGATCTTAAACCTTCTACACGACAAAAACTGTCAACGCGGTGTGCAAGTGGCTTGTGGCCTTTCTGAAGAGCATCACGGTGGGCGTTTCTGTCTCCTTGTGCAAGGGTACCTGCTCTCGGGGCTTTGTTGCCCTTGGACATCTGCGTCTTGACTTTTGCTACGACTTTGGCACGTGGGGTCTGACGGAATCGCTCAGCATCTTTGGGGTGCCCTGGGTGTTTCCTTTCTCCAAGGAATCCGGCCCTCCACGGGGCTGCGACCTACGGGGCCTTTGGGGACGGGGCAATCTTCTCTCTTCTTGCTTATTTCTCAGGGCTACACTTGATACTGAGGGGGAACTTTGTCTGAGAACTTTTTAACGGGGGGACAATACGTAACTTTTACAAATCATAAGTTGTGAGCGTGTATTCCGTGTGTCCCATGCGGCCCCCGGGGGTGCTGGGGCTGTGGTTTTCTGTGAGCAGGGCTTTAAAACTTCTTTTAAATTATTTATTTATTTTTAAAATTTACATCCAAGTTAGTTAGCATGTAGTGCAACAATGATTTCAGGAGTAGATTCCTTAGTGCCCCTGACCCATTGAGCCCATCCCCCCCACACCCCCTCCAGGAACCCTCTGTTGGTTCTCCATATTTATGAGTCTCTTCTGCTTTGTCCCCCTCCCTGCTTTTATAGTGTTGTTTCCCTTCCCTTAGGTTCATCTGTTTTGTCTCTTGAAGTCCTCATATGAGTGAAGTCATATGATTTTTGTCTTTCTCTGACTAATTTCACTTAGCATAATACCCTCCAGTTCCATCCACATAGTTGCCAATGGCAAGATTTCCTTCTTTTTGATGGCCGAGTAATACTCCATTGTATATATATCCCACATCGTCTTTGTCCATTCACCCATCAATGGACATTTGGGCTCTTTCCATACTTTGGCTACTGTTGATGCTGCTGCTATAAACATGGGGGTTCATGTGTCCCTTGGAAATGGCACCCCTGTATCCCGAGGATAAATGCCTAGTAGTGCAATTGCTGGGTCGTAGGGTAGTTCTATTTTTAATTTTTTTGAGGACCCCCCATTCTGTTTTCCAGAGTGGCTGCACCAGTTTGCATTCCCAGGGCCCTTAAAGCTTTGAAGTCAGTATCTTAAACTTGACATATTTTGCATTTAAAACAATTCCTTTTCAAGTTTCCATGTGAAAAATACAAGATTTCACAGCACTAGGGCCACAATCCTGTAGAGCATCTGGCTGGGTCGGAACAGCCATTGCCCCTTTAAACAGGGCATGTGATAAGTCGCCACAATCCCCTCCAACTCCAGTTTTCTCCCCAACATCAAAGCCGGCGTTGCTCGAACTGGTGTTTTTCTTACGCTAGAAAAATAGTTCTTATGTCGCTTTCCCAACGGGGTGTAAAGTCTCCGTGTGATTATTCTTACCCCAGGCCTCTGGCATGTTTTTATTTTATCTGTGTGGCCCCCGACTATGGGAAAAAGGCTTCTACTTCACAGATATTTTGTTATCTGTAATTTACCTAGCATTTGCTAGAATTTTGGATTTTACAGCTTCCTCCCTCGGAATTATAAGGAACCAAGCAGGATTGCAAAATGTCTCTGTAGCATGAAAGCTGTACATTCAAAACTAAAAATAAAACACTCCTCTTCTTTCACCACTGTTTTATAAGTGAAAGCACACTTTCACACCAGAAACCACGATAGACGTAATCAGGAAGAAAAGAATAGGCATCACCCAGAAAAGAGTTGTAAGTGGAAGAAACACTCTTAAGCTCAAAAGGGCTTCAGGAACAGCTAGATCCAGGGACATATGTGATACCCTCAGCTTATAGACTCCTTCTCCCTCCCTCCCTCTCTCTCCATCTCTCAACTCTGCTTTCCTATTGGCTTCCTTTTCAAGCAGATTTTTTTCCCTAGAGATGGTGCTGGTCCTGGAAGCTACCCCTTCAAACCCAGTGGAAAGAGGGCAGACCTCTCTCTTGATTGATTTAGCAAAGCTCTGAGATTGGCTCAGTTTCTAATCTGTGTTCAGCCATTCTGAACCAATCACAGCAGCCCAATCACGTGCAAGGCTCTGATATTGCCAGGCCCCAGCCACAGGGGTGGAATAAGTTTGTCTGACCTGAAAGAGAGGAAAGGGAATCCTGGTTCCCCAGGGAAAACGCAAGTTGTAGTCCCAGGAGAGGGAGGAAAGAATACTGGCTGGGAAAGCATACATTAGTGAGTGAATTATTAGGTAAACAAATAAATATCCCCTACTGTGACCTTGAACCATAATGAGGATTCCCACATTTTTTCTTAATTTTTTTTTCCCACCTCGTCCAGGATGCATGAAAACATAAACACCATCCAACACTTGAACATCTCTGTTTTGACACGTTCATTCACCTGCCATGGAGACTTGTCTTGCAGCTACTAAATATGCATTTTGTTTGAACTTGCTGTAGACATCGGACTCCGCGGAGAAGGCCATCATGCCCCCGGAGCCGGAGCCGGCAGGGGCAGGCCAGAAGAGCAAGGAGCGTTCCTCCAAAGACAAGAAGGTGGCGGCTGAGGGGGACAAACAGAAGAGCAACAAGCAGGACGCCAAAGAACCCGCCCAGTGTGTGGAGCCGGCCGTGGTGGAGGTGAACTCACTGCAGAACGGGGACAAGTCCCAGAAGAGACCGGAGAAGCGGCGACAGTCCCTCGGCGGCTTCTTTAAGGGCCTGGTAGGTGGATTGGGCGACTCTTCTTTCCGGGATCTTGGGCCGGAAGTGTGGTGCCCGCCTTCAAGGAGGGACTGGCTTGGACATTGGTCCCACAAATACTGACGGAGCACCTTCTGTGTGCCAGGCGCTGTGCTAGGCACGCAGCGCGAGGTGGACACAGACATCACCCACCTGCAGGGTGTGGATCGATGGGGGCGGGGGTACTGAGTGCGGGGAGAGCCAGGAGGTGAAGGGAACCTGAGCATGAGGATGTGGCCCTGCCCCGGGGTTGAAAGGAGTGTCGGGGAAGGCTTCTCAGAAGAGGTGAGCTCTAAGGTGGGGCCTCAAATTAGCCTGTGCAGGAGGAGGCAAGGGGAGGTCTGAAGGCCCAGTGCGTTCCTGCTTATGGAACAGCAGGTGCGTGGGGGTGCTGGAGAGACAGCACGGAAGTGAAGTTCAGTCTGGCTGGAAGAGAGCATAGGAGGCAGGCACGGGAGGTGATAAGGAGCACCAGGGTTGGTCTGTGGCCAAAGGGAGACCCGAGGTGTTTAAACCAGGAAACTGCTGTGAGCCCGATCTTGGGTGTTGGGGATACACAGGCGACTAAAAATTAGCTCCTTCCTTCCAGAGAGGCCTACACAGGGGTGAGCAGAGGCCAGACATTCAATAATCGATCAACCTTTGGGTTATTTGTGTCTATTCGGTTCTTCTCCGTCTCCTGCTCGAGACTGTTAGCCTTGGGAGGGCAGTGGCCATACTGTCACGGGCAGACGTGCTGTCCTCCGCAGCGTGGTGGATAGATAGAGCACAGTAGACACCCCGTAAGTGTTTGTTGAATGGATGAAGGCGTAGATGAAGTGAAATACGACGCCGGTAAATGTTTTATTATATAAGTCCTGGCAAACAAGGAGAGTCTAAGGGTCGTTAATCGAATGATAAGCGCGGTAATCAAGCATCCATTCGCAGAAGCCACAAGCGGAGTCATACCTAGACCCCGCGGGAATGTGGCTGGAGCCCATAGAGGAGGGCACGGAAATAACATTGAGAGTAGCCGTGGGGCCGGGGTTCACTGGGGTAACCTTCATGTCGTGATAGAGCTGGGGGTAGGGACATGGTCTAGGACGTGCCCGAGACCAACTGATCGCTCCTGATTGCCCTGGTCCCTGAATATCTGTAGGTATTGATGACTTCCGACAGATGGAAGCTGGAGAGTCCGATGGTTCCCCTGGGCCCAGCTTTGGTCTCCAAATATCATCTGTGGGAAGCCTGTTAGAAATGCAGCGTCTCGGGCCCCAAGTTTAAAGTCTTAAGATAAATGCCATCACATTTCCATCTGGTCTCAGTGTGTGTATAGAACCTCAATGTGAGGCAATGCCCGAAGTCAAGCTCTGGGGCTGCTTGGAAAAGAGAAGCTTGGCCCAGAGTCCCTCCGTCACCCCCAAGCCTCCAGTGAAAGCTCTTCTCCAGTTCTTAAGAGGTGAAGGAGACCAACCACCAAAGCAGGGGGTGTCTGAAAGATTGATCGTGCTTTGGGTGGTTTTGCTGGAAAATTTGTCTCCATTCTCAGCTCTCGCTCCTTGGAGAGGAGTGTAAACCCTAATCGCACTTCTCTAGACATTTCCAAACCGACTACTACTTCTGCCCAGAGTTCTGGTTGAACCATTCCCTGCCAAACCACAGTGCACAGGGCGGCATAGGGCATGGGGAGGGTGCTGTTCTAGAAAGGTTCTGAGCTCACGGGCCCAGTCTTTCTTGTTGGTTTTGGTTGGTTTTTTGGGGGGGTTTCTTTTCTTTCTTTTTTCTTTGTTTTGGTCATAGGCTCATGGGGGTGTTCTCTGCATATCCCCTTACCCATGACACCCCTGGACCTGACAGGATGGCTCTCGTCCAATGGTTCTGAATCAGCGATTTTATTTGTGGGGGACGCTGGGCAACGTCAGAGACCGATTTGCTCGTCACAACTAGGAGTCAGTGCTACTGGGATGCTGTGGGCAGAGACCAGGGACCTTGCTAAATGTCCCATAGTGCACAGAACAGCCCTCCATGACAAAGAGGTGTCCAGCCCAAAGTGCCAATGGTGCCACGTAGGACAGTAGAAAGGACAGAACGGTGCCGAGGAGTCCGTGCCGTGAAGACAGGCAGCTTCACTTACTCGAGTCCTAGACCTACCACTTCCTACCTAGCTGTGTGACCTTGGGCTAATCACTTAACCCCTCAGAGCCTCCGGTGTCCCTTAAGCAAAACTGAGGTGATGATTACAGCTACCATTTGAGGGTTCCCATGAGAATCAAATGCATATATGCCCTACGGGGGGCGCCTGGGTGGCTCAGTCAGTCCCACTCTCGATCTCGGCTCAGGTCATGGTCTCACAGTTGGTGGGTTTGAGCCCCGCGTTGGGCTCTGTGCTGACTGTGGGGAGCCTGCTTGGGATCCTCTCTCTCCCTCTGTCTCTGGCCCTCCCCCGCTCGTGCACTCTGTCTCTCTCAAAATAAATAAATAAACGTAAATACACACACAGACGCACACCCTACCAGATCCAGCAGCTGGCACAAAGCAGGAGTTCTGTAGTAGACGCCCTCATCTCCCTGGCAAGTTTTATGGGACCTTCCGTGTGGACTGGAGCTCAACCCCCACCAAAGCGGGGACATCAGCCCACATGGCTCTCACCTTAAACCCCCCACAGGACTCCTTTCCCTGCGTTCCCTTCTCCCTCCGTTCGCTGCCACCTCTCTCTCTCCCTCCCCAAGACCATCCGCCCCAGTCAGTTCCCCGAGTTCACCGCCAGCCAATCCCTGCTCGCTCTGTGCCCTCCCAGCGAGGTGGTCTCTGCTGGGCGCCTTCCTTCCACCTCCTCCAGCTGCCTGAATTCTAACAGGGAGCAGCCTCCTGAGCAGTTCGTGCAACATCTGAAAAGAACTGGAAGGAAGCCTTTAGAACTCGGCAGGTGCAGCTGTTTGCAAGCATTTGGTTTTTGAGCAGAGGCACTTCGTTCACAAAGAAACCGAGAACCTTCACGCGTGTGCATGCGTGTGCATGTGGGTGTACACACCCATACGTGTGGACATAGAAACACATCTACTTGACCAACACAGAGCCCCGATTGCAGGGGGAGTGGGCTCAAGAACCCCCGAGCTGGTGGCCCCCCCGCATCTCTCCCCCTGTGGGAGCCCCTGAGACACCTTTATGTAGCGCTAGAAGATTCTGTGCCGTCCGGTGGGGATTGGAAAGAAGGCAAGGCCTGCTCTTCGTTCCCCAGGGGCCCCTACCTGTCATCGTTGCCCGTCTCCACTGGGCACAGGCTGAACTGAGGCTTGTGACAATTAGCTCAGTTACTCCGCCCAGGGCTTGGAAAGAGCAGTGGTGCACGGGATGGAGCCTGGACGACAGGTGATCTGAGGTCCGGATTCCAAGTCCAGGTGGCCAGTCCGCTGCTACATAAGCTGGCCCTGGCTCATCTTGGAGCCGGTTGGCACATCTGTAAGACTGGTTACTAATCACTGCCCCCCTCACCGGGCTGGTGAGAGGGACCCGGTGGCAGTGGATTTGGTTCGGCTGGTTGTAAACTGTGAAGTACCGTCCTGATACACCAGGCAGGACAAAGGTGGCCTCCAGGGGCTCTGATCTCCAAAGTCCATGCCTGAGGCGGCCAGAGGGGGAACGTATGTGAGCGAAGAGACCTGGGAGGGGTCTGTGGCAACTGGATAAAGCAGGTGCCCCATCTAAAAGGGGGCACCGCCCCTCGGTCCCAGTCATTTATCGCCTTGCAGGTTTATGGGTCCAATATGGCAGGTCTTCTCTCTTTTCAAGAGAGAAGAACAAAAGTGCGGATTGTAATGTGAAACATTTCATTTTTATTTTTTAAAATGTTTTTTACTTAGTTTTTGAGCGAGAGAGAACACTAGTTGGGGAAGGGCAGAGAGGGGGTGGACAGAGGATCTGAGGTGGGCTCTGTGCTGAGAGCAGAGAGTCCGACGTGGGGCTCAAACTCACAAACCAGGAGATCATGACCTGAGCCAAAGTCAGACGGGCCACCGACCGAGCCACCCAGGTGCTCCAAGGCATTAATTTCTAAATGTCAGCATTTAACTTAAAACCTAAAAGAAGAAAATATGTTTGTCATAACCCATTTACAAGCCAAGTTCAGCTCAAGACAGCCACTTAGCGAGCTGAGTTTGATAGACTCAGCCCATCAAGACCCTCAGCACTGGGGCGCCCGGGGGGGCTCAGTTGGTTAAGCATCTGACTCTTGATTTTGGCTCCGGTCATGATCTCACAGTTCATGAGTTTGAGCCCCACACCGGGCTCTGCACTGACAGCACGGATCCCGCTTGGGATTCTCTGTCTCCCTCTCTCTCTGTCCCTCCTCTGCACATGCTCTCTCTCTCTCTCTCTCTCAAAATAAATAAACTTAAAAAAAATCTAATAAAAAAATGTAAAAAGACCCTCAGTACCTGAAGGAATAGGACCTCTGGAGGCTAAGGTTGAGTGTCGGGGGGAGGCCTGTGTGAACCAGGACAGACAGCAGCACAACGGAGGGCATGCTGGGTGACGTGGGGACAGAAGGGATCATTTTCCCCAGGGCCAGCCTAAGTCCAGCCCTCGAGAAGCTCGTCCCTGGATTTGCACCCAGCTCTACCACTCAGTGGCCGCGTGACCTTGGACAAGTCGCCTTCCTGAGTTTCAGGTGCCTTATCAACGGGCCGATTCGGTCACAGAGTTAGCCCGAATGAAATGAGATCAGATATGGCAACCTTAGAAACATCCCTGGCATGTTGTAATTTGTCAGGGGGGGAACAGCGATTTTTATTCTTACGGTGATTATTATGATTCTTCTTCAGTCAGCCCCTCCCTAGGCTGTAAAGATGCAGGTGAGTGAGATGCCACCAAGTGTCCAGCAACTTTGTGACTTAGGTGTTCACGATGCAAGGCAGACGGACTGGCTGGGAGCCACCTAGAGCGCAGGACACGAGCTCAGGACTCGGGCACACGGGACACAGAGCTCGGGTCCACCACTTCCTGGTGGAAAACGAGTGACTTGAGCTCCCTGAGCTCTCTCCTTTGAGTTGATAATGACAGTGATGATGGGGTCAGCTCCAGAGGATGCTGGGAAGACCAGGGTGACCTCACGAATGAGACAACAGGCTCACAGACAAGGGATTGATCAGAGGTCAGGAACCTGAGAGGGACGGAGCCGTCCTCGAGCTTTGAGTCCCAACTTTCACTACTCCGTGTTGGCCTCTCCTCTTCGTCTTCCCAGACGGACACGATGTATTGCACAGAGTAGGTGATCCGTACGTGCTGTCCCGTGAATGAACGAATGCGACAAAAAGCAATCACAGTAACTCTTTTATAGCACCTACCGCGCGACCGCACTTCACATACGCTCACATCTGCTCTGCACGGCCTCCCTGCGAAGCTCCGCTGGTAAAATTGAGGTGCACGGGGTTAAGGCAACCTGACCAAAGTCAAGCAGCCAGGAAGTGGCCGATCTGGAATTCAAAACCCAGCGATCTGATTCCAGCGGTAAACTGCACTACATTGCATTCTACTCTACAGAACATGCTTTCCACTGTACTACTCTGTATTACACTATGCAACATATGCCGCAGTACGTTGTACTGTATACGCACCATATATGCACCCTGTGTACATCCTATCTGTTGTACTATACTAAGCCATGCTATATTACTAAGCCATGCTATATTCACTATACCATGACACTATTGTCCTACACTGTGTGTTGTACTATCTTATCCTATACTGTGTATGCTCCGCTATACTGCATTATACGACATGATACTATGTGTATTACTAGGCTATATACATATATAAATGTGCTTTGTAATAGCATATTATACTATTCTACCCAATATTATACTATACTGTAGTATATATGCTATTGCATACTACACTGTGCTACATACACTATACCATACTATATTTATTGTATTGTATTACCCTATATATATTATCTGTATTATATAATATATACTATACTATTTATACTATGCTATACTATAATATGCCATGCTACATTTAATACACTAGATTTCATTATATGTATACTATACAATATACATCATCCTATATTATGGCATCCTATATTACATAATACTAGCTTGTACTATGTATATATACTGTACTATATATACTTTATTATACTATATATTACACTATACTGTACAACTATATATACTTTGCTATATCACACTATCTCATATATATATGTATATATACACACACACACACATACACACTTTACTGAAATATATATACTATCCTATATTATACTATCACTAGCCTATACTACATATACTGTAAAACAGGACCAACAATAAAATACCCCTTATATATGCAGCAACATGGATGCATCGCAAATCCATTATGCTATATGACAGTATATGCTATATACTCTGATTCTGTTGATATGCTGTCCTGGAAAAGCAAAATTCTAGGGATAGAGACAGATCAGTGGTTGCCGGCGTCTGGAGGTTGGGGCAAGGGGTTGACTCCAAAGAGACTCAAAGGGGACCTGGGGAGTGGGTTGCACTACGCTATATCTTGATTTTGGTGGTGGTGACATGACTATTTGGGTTGGTCGAGGCTCACAGAACTGTACACAAAGAGGTTGATTTCATTGTATATACATTATACTGGGCAGAAAAGGTAAAATAATAATAATAATAGCAATAGTAATAATGATACTTGACTCAGAGTTTATTCCATTCAGGTGGAAGAGACAGATATCAGGGCATAGATGATAAGATCATTTCAGATGGTGATCATGTTTCGTAAAAAGTTAAGCAGGGCAACATGTTTCACAAGTGATCGGATGGGGTAACTAAAGCAAGACACAACTGTGAAGCGTTCTTCGCAGCGCAGGTAGTATTCTAAGTACTTCACAGGAATGAACTCACTTTATCTTGGAGCAACCCTCTGAGACATTGTATCGTCCCCATTTTAAAGATGGAGAAGCTGAGTTTACAGAGGTAGATAAGGGGAACCTGTCTGGCTTAGGCGGGAGAGAACACAACCCTTGATCTCGAGGTGGTGAACTCGAGCCCCACTGGGTACAGAGATTACTTAAATAAGTGAAAAAAAAAAAGAGTTAAGTAATTTCTCCAAGATTTCGCAAAGCTAGAAAGACTATAACTGGGCATTGCGCTGCAACATCTGACTGGTGGCCATTCTTTTCTCCACCACTCATGAAAAAAGTGCATTTGTTTAGCTCAACACCTGGCACAGAGTAAGCGCTAAATAGACGGCAGTTGTTGCCCTTGATGGTTCAGCCTTTCATTAGGGTGCAACTTCTTTCTATTTTTCTCCAGGGACCAAAGCGGATGTTGGACGCCCAAGTGCAGACAGACCCTGTATCCATCGGACCAGCTGGTAAAACCAAGTAAACAAATTACTACAGTTCCCACCAAGTTGTCCTGCACCAAGATGTCTTCTCCCTACTCCGTTTCCTCCCCCAGCCCACTCCATGTACATAGTCTTCTTCTCGTGGCCATCAAATGAAATTCTGCCTACAAATTAAGCCTGAGCTGTTGTATATTGAGGTGTATTATTTACGTCTCGGGTCCAATCTTTTCCGGTAAATGACCGTAAAGATGGTTTAGCAGGTTAACCGGTTAGGTCAGAAGAGTTGAAGGTTGCCAAGCAGAGAGCGGAGGGGGCGGAGGAATGCATCCTGGCGAAGTTACGAAGCGTGGCAGTGGTGAGTAAGTTGCAGAGGGAATTAAGTTCTGTAGTACATGCAGGCTCCTCTTCTGAGCTCCAAGAGGAGAGACAAAAATCCGGTTAAGTTCACATTTGGAGGAGGGACAACATGGGCTCTGTGCCGGGAGGTTGCCAACTTCCTGAAATGGAATGTGTGGGGAATGGAAAAGGAATGAATACGAGTCGCTTTTCGAATAGGGTCCTTGAAAGGTATTGATGAGAGGGAAAAGATTGACCGCAGAGGGTTTGAAATGATTTGGGAAGACAGCTGCGCTCAGTGATGAGCGCAAGGATTACAACTTCAGGGGGAAAAAAAAAAAAAAAAGGCACAAAATAAATGCAGTTGCAAGTTTACTTTGCGACACAAGGGGGCACCGAGGTCTCCGTTTTAATCCTGCGTCCTGTAGCCCTAACAAAGATTTGGTCTCCGCATCTTACATTATTAATGCTTCTCAGATGGCTGAGGGACTTCCTTCATCTGTTCTGTCTGACACTTATCTCAAAGTCTGTCTGTAATTTCCTAATGTTTCAGGATGTGCTCCGATAAAACCGTCCCCATAACCCCAGTTAATAAAAAATTTCCAGAAGATTATTCAAATACCCGAGGTTTTTTTTTTTTTAATACGTGTACAGAGGAGTAAATAGGACCATGAGTCTATTAAAATGTAATTCAAAGTAGCATATGATTGATCGATATCATGTATACTGTACCTTTCTTTTTCTGATTTAATAAAAAAAATACATTTACATCTAAAGCATCTTTTACTTTTCAACTTTTAAAGCAGGTCTCTTGTCCTCTCGGAGACACCTTCATCTTCCACAGCATGAAATCAGTGTTCTTCCTCCATTTTGTTTTCCTTCGCAGATGCTCCTAGATTTTTCCCCTTGTATATGGGCACGTACACATGCAAATGTGTACACACATATATTTGCATGCACACACTCCCACTTACATAAAAGTCCCGCCTTAGGCCAGGCTGCCTGGAGTTGAGCCTGAGATAGGGATTCAGAAGCATGTGACATACCCAGGGAGGACCAGGGGCGGGGAGGGAGAGGAAGTGAACAACAGGGCAGGGGAGGGAGCTGAGCAAGGATTGGTGTCAGCTGGAGTTGAGTTCCATCCTGATCCCTCAGGGGGCTCTGCAACCAGAATTGCACACTGCAGTTGGGTTCTATCTTGAGCCAAGGGAGCCAGCCTTTGTACCCTTGTTGATGAGTCACAGGCCACCCTGGGAAGCGGTGGGACAGGCCCGGTGCTCCCACTAAGCTGAGAGGCTGGGATCCCATGACAGCTAGAGGAGAGGGGCTGGGCAGAGTCCATTACAGATACGCACATGATATTCAGATATGTGTTCATTCCCACGTAGGGACACGTCCATACATATAAGCATGCTTTACATGCAGAAATGCACAAATGCATGCACGCATTCATACTTCTATATTACATACAGGAATAAATTCATGAACATATTCATAATGACACAAACAGGCACGTGTAGCAAACACAGATTCGCACATACGCGCTGGCTTGTGCAAAGCCGTCACGCGTTGATCTGAAGTAAACATTGAATATGCTCTTCTGACAAGTCTTACATTAGGAAAATAAAACCATTGCTTTGGCCAAAAAAAAAAAAAAAAAAACCAAGGCATTTGGAAAATGCATTCAGGAAAAAAATGGTATCTCTAAAAAAGCAGATGGGGGGAGGGCGTGGCGTCGGCTGCTGCTGTGGCCAGCTAGCTGTCAGCGTGGATGCCCATTGCTAGGTTTCAAATAAAGATCAGAGGTCTTTTCCTTGCAGCTTTCCCTTTAGCCTCTTCGGATCTGCTGCTCCAACCTGGAGATCAGTGTCTGTGACTCACCCGGTTGAGAATGACCTCATGCCGCCTCCTGTCTGAATGCTTAACTTGGCGCAAATCAGGAAAAAGTCCTTTGGGGAAGCCCTTACTGGCTGGGTGACTTTCCTCCAGCAACATCATCATAGAACACAGGGCCAGGCAGCTGTTTATTCCTTTGTCCCCAAACACCAGGGGGGGCGCCTAGTGTGACCTTTGGTGAGCTCTGGGCCATAGTCGTCCATTGAGAAAGGTGACAGTTTCATTTGCAAGTTTCACCTCGCTGGGCACAGGGGCTTTTTGCCCTGATGAGAAGTGCCCCCAGGCAGGGCTGAGTCACTAACGCAGAAGGAGCCCTCCTCCCATCCCCCCCACCTCCCTGGATTTTAAAAAAATCTTAAATGAGTTCTTTGCTGAGAACCTCTCTGCAAACCCAACTCTTTCTGTAACAGTTTCATATCGTCCTGGCCAAAAAAAAAAAAAAAGAGAGAGCCATCTTTTAATGAAATTGCTTTGGTTTTTTTGTTATTGTCATTTTTAAAAGGCAAGAAAACTGAAGCCAGAGTAGACTCGGAAAATGACTTGTTTGGGAGATTTGAAATCTAGTAGTAGCCTCAGAAGCGCGTTGAAACCCCATTTTTGAGTTTTGAGGGTTTGCTTTGTGTGTGTGTGTGTGTGTGTGTGTGTGGTGTATTTTGTTTTGTTTTTTAGTTGAGAGCTCATTCCTGGTGCGTTTACAGACAATACTAATTTCCATGCCTCCCGCTGAACTCCTGTGAAAAAGAGCAGAGACTCCCCAGATGAGCTCAGGAGAAGGCTCTGGGGTCTCAAAGAGCCTTGAGGGACCCAAGTTCCTCAAACCGCGGAGCCCAGAAGGGCCACTTGGAAGCCAGAGCTGTGCACGTGGAGACACGAAACACACTCTCTGAAACTGAAAGGGAATTATGGCCTGCAGGAGGGGCCGGAGGGACCTCGTTAAAAATTTACAAACTCATTTATTTATTTACTTTTTATTTTTAGGTGCACAGGGAGGTGTGTCTTCTCCAGTGGCAAGAAGAAGTGGCCCTTCCAAGAACTGAGCTTTTGAGCCGAACTGGCTGCCCCTGGGGGAAAAACAAAAACAAAAACAAAAACAAAAACAAAACCCACTCTGCTTTTCAGTTGCAGCTGATGGTGACTTTTGGACTGATACCCGTAAAAGAGTTCATTCAAAAGCGTGCTTGTTCTCAGCAGCCCATGAGGTCCCTCGTGAATTCATCATCCAGGGGAGGGGAGGCATGCCTAAAGAAATGCCAAAAACGGAGGGAAAAGAGAAAGAAAGTTAAGTTCTTCGGTTTTTGTTGCATTCCCCCTGCTCTTTTCTTGGAGCAAGCTACCCAGGATTTCAACACACACACGCACACACACACACACACACACGCACACGCTTGAGCTGGACTGTCCTTGTGTGCTTGCAAACAGTCCAATGGCAATGGAGCCCCATTAAATCAGACTCCAAGAGACTGGAATCTGTGTCCCGCTGGCTCCTTCTCCGACTGCCCCCCCCCCACCCCCAGAAGGGAACAGATTTCTACAATCCGGACCTGACAAACGCCACTTCTTAGGCCAAATAGTCCCACGTGGATCTTAAGCCACAAAAAGGTAAATCAGCTAGCCTTCCTACTTTAAAGACAATTTTGGAAAGGAAGAGGATTTCAATTATTAACTCACCCAAGCCGCAGACGCAGGGCATGCGCTTTGCAGAATGGTAAGAATAAGGGTGGGTTTTAAGCATCCTCTGCATGTCCCTTTTGAAGCCTTCTTAAAAGGGGGTCCGCACGGGGAGTAGAAATACGGCTCTGCATGCTAGACCTTCCTCATGCCATCAGTGAACACATCGTGGCCAACTGGAAATTAACAGGCTCCATTAGGGGAGGAAAAAAAAATTACTGAGCAGCAAATTCTGTAAATTTGTAATTCAGATCTCAGCGCTGGCCTGAAAACCAGTTGGGATCTAACCCTTTGCATACATTGGTGTTCTGGGGAGCTTAACCCTTTCGCGTCTGTCTCCTCTCCCCAGAGAGCTACTCATTTGGTCTTCGCTGTCCCCTGGCCCTTTAACTGGCCTTGGCAGGCATAGCAATCCGGGCAATTTTGCAGAAATAAGGATAATAATAATAAGGCTTCACATTCTCACACTCCGCAGTTTATAGAATGCTTTCTGAATACATTATCTAATTTAAAGCTGTCTGCCCCTAATGGAACTTAATTGCCACCTTTGTTATAGTTTATTATGAGGACACTGGCGTGCACCTGTATGCCTTTTGTTTTGTTTTGTTTTTCTCCAAAGGAGTACTTCTTGACAAAATGGCCCCCAGCTGCTTTTCTGCCAATGGTCGCCACTGAAGGAGCTCCTTGCTTTCCCGTTGGGCTCTCACTCACGGATGCTGTTGTTTAAATCTGGCCACATGGGGGAGTTCTAGAACATAGGGTGCTACCATCTCCAGCCAAGCTCTTTTCCCTGACTCCCTAATGAGGAGGTCGGGCCAAAACAGCTCTTAAGAATGTGTTTGTTGATGAACTTCTAGAAAGCAGTCAAGTTTAGAATAAGAGGGCCAACCTGAGCAAGTCAACTGCCTTGGGTGATTCCCAGGCCGCCAGGCAGAGGTAGAGTTGGTTGGTTGGTTTTTCCATTCTTGTCAGCTTCGTCTGGAAAGAGGCTTAAGAAAGGACATTGTGATTGCAAACTATTTAGGTTGGTGTCACTGCAAAGCATATAAGTTACCCTCACCAGCTTTTCATGCCCCACGACACAGCCTTACCTCTCACGTCTCTACACGCAACTAGCGGGCAAGTGACTTGACTTCTCAGTTTCCTCCCTAAACAATGGGACAGTCTTAGTGCCTGTTTTGTGGAGCTGGTGGCTGGTGCATAATAAAGAGCTAATAAAGGAGAGCTATTATGTCATAGGGAACTTCCAGCACCAAGCAGCAGAAAAGTCCCATTCCCACTGGCTAATAATAATAATAGCAGTAAGGATGTTTATCATTTCATTTCTCCGCTGTTGTATCATAGCCTAGCTCTGATTCTCTGGACTCTGCTCTGCCATGTTCCATGGGTTGACTTCACCCTAAGATCAATGCCAAGTGATGGCTGCAGTTCCAGACCAGGGGATTCTGGGATTAGCATAATCAATTTTTGATGTATCATTTTGGTGAAATAGATTTTTTTAACGTTTATTTGTTTTGGGGAGACAGAGAGAGACAGAGAACGAGCAGGGGAGGAACAGAGAGAGGGGGAGACGCAGAATCCAAGGCGGGCTCCAGGCTCTGAGCTGTCAGCACAGAGCCCGACGCAGGGCTCAAACCCACGAACCGTGAGATCGTGACCCGAGCCAGTTAGTCGCTCAACTGACTGAGCCACCCAGGTGCCCCCGGTGAAATAGATATTTAGAGGCAACTCCAGTGATGCAATAAACAGGCATTTTTTGACATCAGTATCTTTAAAGTTAGCCACTCCTCAGACCAAGGATGCCCTTCAATTCCGACTGATGGGACATGTGCATTTATGATGCCTTGCCCTCCAGAACGGGACCATTAGACCGAGCTCATCAACATCAGGGACTTTATGTCTGTCTCACTCACGGCTCCGTCGTCAATGTCTGGCATAATGCTTAGATGCAGTGGATCCTCAACAAATATTGGCTGAATGGATGTATTAATTGATAGATACCCTATGGCCACATCCATCGGGCAGTGGGTTGCCTTATGCTCTGGTATGAGTTTATTTCAGCACGAAGTGTTCGATCACTTTAATCAGACATCCACCCTCCCCAGCTGCCTAGGCTAGTGGTTCTCAGAGTGTGGTCCCCTAACAATCAGCATCAGCAGCACCCGAGAACGAATTGGAGCTGCGAATTCTCAAGCCCTACTCCAGACCCGCTGGATCAAAAAGGCTCAGGGTGGCGCCCAGCATTGTGTGTTTTAGCAAGTCCTCCAGGTGGTTCCGACGCAGGGAAATTTGAAAAGCACGGGTCTAGGCAGAGCTACCACGCCACTGATCATCGACTTAAAAAGATTAGCCCGGAAGATGCATACCTAACGTTGGACTTACTAGATGCCAGATGTCCTGTGCCACATAAATTGCCTTGCTTCCTACCCATTTTACAGATGAGGAAACTAAGGCTCAGAGAGGAGACGCAACGCTGCCCAAGGACACACATGTCAGAGTCAAGGCTGAAACCCAACCTAAGCTCCCAAAGACATGTTTTCCTGTCTGTGGGAGAGACAGGCAGGCAAAAGGACAATAACAATATAGTGTGTGATAAGTAAACGTAGGGTGTTGTGGAGCTCAGAGGAAGGCACTGCTACGAGACTGCGGGGGAGGGAGGTTGGCCATTTGAGGTGGTAACAGTTGAGCTGATTCGCAAAGAATAAGAGTCGGCCAGAGGCGTTCCCAGCAGAACAGGAAGTGCCGAAGCCCAGGGTCTACAGAGACAACGCAAGTAGCTCAGTGTGGCCAGAGTGAGGCCGTGGGGAGGAAAGATAAGACAGTGGAGGCTGGAGAGGGGGCACAGACCAGATCATCAAGGTCATGAAGTAAGGAGCCCAGAGGAAGAAGTTTAAACTTCTCCTGAGAAATAGGGAAGAAAATATCGGAGCTGGAGCATGGCAGAATCCAACCTGTATTTTGGCGGTAGGTAGGATCTAACATAAACTCAACCCGACTAACATTCATTGCGTGACCCGAACTCTCTACTCAGTGTTACAAAATGTAACCATTTTCTTCTTAAGCCTCTTCAAAAAGCAGAAGAAATACCCATTTAGATAAAACCTCGAAATGGGGCTGGTCCCTACAAGAGTGCTTAAATACTCATTTCCAAGTGTCATAAGTGTGGGTTTGGAATTTGGCCCCTGATCCACCCAGATGATCCGCGCCTATGACCCAAGGCTGGGAGACTGTGAGCAAGTGATTGCACATATTAGAGCCTTAATTTGTTCCTCTGTAGAATGGGAATAAGAGTAGTACTTAACTCAGAAAGTTGCTGAGAAGAGTAAGTGCGACAACACGTGGGTAGCTTGTAAGTAGAGTGCCCAGCAAATAATAAGTGCTCAGTGAGCATTATTGATGAGGAGACAGATGGTATCTGCCCAAGGTAGAACGCGTGGCTTCACTCTCATGGGCTCAAAGGCCACCCAATCTTTAGGATGAAACCGTGTGCCAGGCTCTCCCCATCGTGGCAATGCGTTGGCTGGCTGGCTCATCCAAGAAAGAAGAAAAGAAGGAGGAGAGAAGAAAAAGAAAAATACTGACTTCTCCCTGATGGCCATCCCATTCTCAAGTAAAGTAGAATTTCTGGGGAATTCTAGAAATTCCCCAGAATTTGACTTGAGTCTGCCTTTGGCTTTCCTTGACTGTATCTTCTTATAATAGTAGCTAGGTTGCCATGGTAGCAGACAGGGTGGATGGTCCGCCTCATTTCTCTTCAGCCCACTTCAGAATTCCCTCCACGATTGGCTTTTCCTTTTGGTGGCTTTCTCCAGGGGCTAGGGGAACTTGTTCAGCTCACCTGCCGGGCAATCTGGAAATGCCTAAAATTTTATGCCCCGAGGGACAGCTTTCAAGCAATGAGGGATGGAAGACAGCAGAGAAATATCTCTGCTTCCCCATCTCTCCGAGGGACACTTTCGATGTGTCTGCTGAATGTTCCCCGGGGTCCCCAGCAAGACTGAATCCTACCTGCTCACAGTAGTGACGCACTCATGAACATACTCTCCGTCATTTGTGCTTCCTGGGGTCACCTCCCAAATAAACTACCTGCCTCCAAGCTCTTGTCTCAGGGTCCGGTGTCTGAGGCACAAACATCTGTATCTCGCTTAGGGTCCCCTGCCACGTGGTTCAATAGAGGGGAATTTATAGGTGCTGGCAGAGCTGAAAAAGGAAGCACGTGACAAGGAGACCACCTAGAGATTAGACACAGAAGAAGAATGCCGCCATACCATGGGGGCCAGACAGACAGAAGGAAGGGGCGATACTACCAAAGCAAGAGAATCTGGACACCCTGGGCGGGGCAGGGGGAGGGCCCGGGGCACCGCATAGGGGTGGGAGAGGCTGCCTGAGGGTAGCTGGGACCAGAGTGGGGCTCTCAGAAAGCACTGCCTTTCTGCTGATAGAAGGGCAGAGGAAAAATATCTTGGAACTTAACTAGAATCCAGTTGGCAATGGAACCTGGGAAATGCAGTTCAAAGGGAAACATGGAAAGAGGCATTAACGGGCAAATGCCCAGCACGACCTCAAGCCCTGCTATGAAAGAAAAAAATAAAATGAGAAAAGCAACAGTGGTTAGGGCCCCACACCCATCCTGTATCTAAAGAAATGAACATGTCTGTGAATGGTCCCAGTAACGCCACCCCACTAAACGTGTCTAACTTCGCTTTGACATCTATCAAATAGAGATGCCAAGCGGATTTAATGATCTACTCCACGCCAAGCAGCTAGCACTGTGCCTGGCGCATACGTGTCGAATAAACGCTCATGCTCATTGGAACGTTTTGAGATCCGACTGTTCTTTGAGTATCTGGGAGCCCATTAAAAGCGCTGCTCAAACTTGTCTCTTCCCCTCTTTACCACTCAAAGCCTCAACTTCAATGTCTAGAATCTGCCTCTAGTCTCTTTTTCATTGCCTTAAAAAAAAAAAAAAAAATCTTTCCACTTTCACTAAAGTTCTGCCAGAGCTGACGGAGGAATAGCTCTCTCCTCCCCTCTGGACTCCCAACCCTCTCCCCGAAGCCCCCACCCCCTCCCTATCTCCGCTGGCCGCTTGTTCACCAGGAGCTTAGCAGTTCTGAGGGTACAAAAACAGGAAACTATGCCCCAGTCCTGACTAAGGCTAAAAACTCATGTGCAAACCCTTCATCACACA